CTAATGGTTCAGAGTATTTGTTGGATTTATTTTAGACCGTGTCGGATTGAACCAATATCTAATTTATTGATAAAAGATAAGACCGTGTCAATAGACCAAGTTTGTATTGGACCTAATCTAAATTAAAGCTATTTTGAACAGATTGGCTGGTTCAGAAAGTTAAATTATATTGGATCAGTCCAGAATGATTAAAGTATTCATCGAATTAGATTGAACCTAATCCATCTGTAATTGACTCATATTGAACCAGGTCAGATTAAATCAATATTCAATATTTGGTTCATTACAGCCCAACTCCTATATACTTAATCTAAAGTTTTATATGCATCTATAAGCATTATATCAAATATCTACAATATATTATATATACACATTTATATAATGATCGATATAAACAATGAATTGCCTTTTTCATTGATCACACATTATACATGTCTTCTTATGGTTCCCACCTTGTCTTTAGGGCAAAGGAATCCAAAAGTTGCACAAAGTCGTCGTTTACTAAGTACTAGCAATTCTTGTATCTGACTCAGTCACAAACAAAATGCCTTCTGCTAAAAAAATTGTTATTGTCAAACCATGTTTTTTTTTTTTTTTTTCTGTCTCTTTAACAAAAAATATTCCCTCCTTAAAACTTTTCAAAGAAATTGTTCCATTATGCAAATTCCATGGCATTAACAAAACATGCCTTGGAAATATCATTATCCATAAGTCATTAATTTCTATTTTATTTTAAGTATTTTTGATAGGGCCATTTGATGACTGTTGAAGTTGATGAATTGAATGCCTTATCAGATGAAGCATGCAATAGTCACAACCTATTTAATGACTTAATAGCTAAAATATATATGTCAATAAATAGGAATGGCAATGGGGCGGGTTTGGGGCATCCATTTTCCATTGGGGACGGGGCATCCCCGAATTTTCCCCGTTTCAAGGTAATTTTTTAAAAATTATCTATTTTATGAACAATTTATACATAAGATATATGAATTTGGGGGTATTTTAGGAATTGAATTATAATACTTTAGAGGTAATTCAAAAATAAAATGATGGGATCCTAGGATTTTAAGAATTTAGGGAAAACTTAGTGATATTTTAAATATCAATATTAAACATAAAGATATTTTACTAATTTACCTTCAGATTCGGGGCGAGTTCAGAGAATTATATATAAAACTCGTCCCCGGTTCAAGGAAAATATTTTTTTCCCATCCTTGTTTAGGATCAGGGAAAACCCAACCCGTTCTTTATGGGGGAAATTGCCATCCCTATCAATAAATCATTCAATTCAGCCATCCCTAAGTGCCCATTTGGGAGGGCTGAAGCGCATCAGCTGGCTTTTCAAGATGGGCCTGACTTGGATGACCTATAAATTATGTTTGGTGAAAAATCTAAAGATCCCAAAATTAAGCTGATTGATGGACTATCTGCTTCACTGAAGCCCTTCCAAGCAATTGAATTAGTGTTCAGTTTGATTAGATAGGGCTGAACATTATCTATACTATTACAAAAGTCGATACCATGATTTTGGTGTAGATCACAAAAATTAAATTTGATAATATATTATTAATTAATACATTTATCTTTACTTGCACACGTGCATAAGCATATGCCCCTATGCTAGTTCAGTTAAAATCGAAAAGTCAAGTAAAACATGTTGATTTTCGGTTTTGGTTAAAAAAAGAAGGTTCAATTAATTTGGTTTTCAAATTTTTTGGTTTTTGATTTTTAGAATTGAAAATTCCGTTAACCGAAAAAATCTAAAATAACCAAATCTTATTATTATTATTATTATTATATATATATAACATTATAATGAAATTCTGTATTAATTGAAAATCAGACCAAAAAATTTGAGTTGATTTTTTCAATTTTAAGATATTTCAGCTTTTGGTTCAATTTTTAACTAAATAAACCAAATGTCCACCCCTCCCACACGGACCTTAAGTTGTAAACAAGTAGACATTAAAGACAATAAATTACGCATACAGGATTTTTTTTTTGGGTTGAAGCATAGAGGATTATAGAATATGGTTTATGGGAGTGACAAGTAAATTAATTATCAAAACCTTAAATAAATAGTATTAAACATTACAAATCAACATTCAGAACGAACAAAAAATAAAATAAATAAATAAATAAAACAAAATGTCCTTGCGTGGAGATGAGTCATGGGTCAAGGAAGGGTGATGATGCAATGTCGAGGGTGGGAGGGCGGCTCTCATTCCACCACTCCATCCCTCTCACAGCAGATGGGTCAAAGTTAGAGGACACAGTTTTTGGTGATAGACATAGTAATCCGATTCATCCAAGCTACAGAAACGCCAGCCAGCCAGTAAATTCCTCAACAAGAGTGTTTTGATGAAAAAGAAATAAAAAATAGGGTAAAATATAAAAGCATCCCTGAGCTTTCTTACAATCATAAAAATCTTTCTTATAGTTTCACTTTAACAAAAACCTCTCTGGTATTTTTTAACAAAATTGACAAAAGCCTCCCTTCCATCAATAATCGTAACGGAAAATGTTAAACCGATGATTAAATCTTTGCAAGTACCTATTTTACCCTTTCCAAATACGCTTTGACGATTTCCATCTGTTGGAACATTCCACCATTGATCATCATATACTCTCTCAGTGCACTATAATTGCCTCCAAATGCTTCCAGCAGAGTCCGCAAATAAACGCCTTGCGCCAGTGCAAGCACCATTATTCCCTCAGCCTCTTTCTTCTTCGCATATAGTTCTGCGTCTGCAACTTGTTGGCGAGCGTTAAAAAAAATGCCTCTGCAATTGCTTTCTGTACCTCGGCCTCTTTCTACTTCTCATACAATACTGCAAAAGTACAAACAGATATATATTTGGACTTAATTCCTCAGAAATCATAGAAATTTCATCAAGAACAGTTGGATTTATTTAGATAAAAAAAAAAAACATAAAGGACACGATTGGATTGATCGGCAATGCTCCATACCCGGGTTTCATACTCCACCACTGGCCTTACTCAGTAGCTCGACTTCTCTGTGCGGGTCAATGCGTTCATCCTCTCAACTTCTCTCTGCAACTCAGCCTCTCGTATGGTCACCACCTTTGCTGACTCCACTTCCGCCATCTGAGCCTGCCGAGTCCACTCCGCTTTCTTTGCCGCCAACTCCGCGTTGGCCTCTGCAACATCAGCCTCCTTCTGGTTCTCATATATCCTCACATCTGTCTTCACCTTAATCTCTTCCTTCTTCCCTTCTCCTTGCCTTTGGGTTGATATGATCCTTGTCTGCCCTTCACGAAGCTTTGCTCCGATCTCACCTTTCATCTTGGCCTCAGCCACATCGATTTGAGCCTAGTTGGCAGCCTTCATCTGGGCCTTCTGGCCAAGGTACGAGAAGTACTCATGACCAGGCATGTCAACCAACTACTTAACGTTGGCGTTGTAGATGAGAAGGACAAACTGGTTGAGTTTCAGTTGAACTTTCTCGAACACTTTTTGCTTGAACTCCTTGGTTCCTCTGAAGATTTCCTCCATGGTCATCGACAGTGCTAGAACTTGAGTCTCACCCTTGATGATCCGTTGAACAATCTCCTTAATGTGGCTAGAGAGATGGGATTGAAAATTTGGTTTTAGCCATTTATGACTTGCCAGTTATATGTGTAGTATTTCCTTTTTCAGTCAGTTTGTTTTCTTCCTATAAGCCATGACAATTTCTTTTCTACAGGGATTGAAATTGATGATGAAGAACAAGCCCGTTTTGTGGAACATGTGGACAAGGATAACAATGGAATTATAACATTTGAAGAATGGAGAGATTTTCTTCTACTCTATCCCCATGAGGCTACTATTGAGAATATTTATCATTACCTGGAGAGAGGGTATACGTATATGCATGCCTTGTAGATATTGGGGAGCAGGCTGTTATTCCAGAAGGCATCAGCAAGCATGCCCATGCAAGCAGATATTTAATAGCAGGAGGTGTTACAGGAGCAACATCCCGTACTGCGACAATTCCTCTTGATCTTGCATTATGCCTGCCATAAAAGGATATATGGCGGAAATGTGGTTTTTTGGGATTTTTCCAAGGGAATGGATTAAAAGTTCTAAAGGTAGCATCTGAAAGTGCTTTAAGGTTTTATACTTATGAAATGCTGAAGAGTTTGATTGTCAATTCTAAAGGGGAAGAAAAGGATTATATTGGTACTTCCGAGCGCCTTGTTGCCAGTGGTATTGCAGGTGCAATTGCATAGCAGCTATTTGTCCAATGGATCTTGTAAAAACTCGATTGCGGACTTATGCTTGTGAAGGTGAAAAAGTTCCTAAACTCAGAGCTTTAACATAACACATATGGATTCAAGAGAGGCCTCAAGCCTTCCTTATGCAGGAACAGACCTTGCTGCATATGAGACCTTGAAAGATATGTCAAAAAGTATATATTCTCCATGATTGTGAACACCGCCGGGAGAACGAAGGGGATCTTTTCTGCGCTCATAGCCTCTACGTCGAACGTGTAGTTTACCGGAGAGATGTCGAAGACAGTGTAAAATTGCCCCGGAAGGACCTATGCTTTCTTGGCAAGCTTGATGTCTCGTATCCCGATGCCGATGATCACTAACTACTCCGATGGGCTTGCCACTTTATACATGACTGTGGGCGAGTACCGTAAGAGACGTAGAAGAAGAAGAAGAAGAGAGAGAAAGAGAGAAATCAGATGTAAAAGGGGGGCAAATTTGTATATTTATAACCAGTGGGGACCCGTGCATGGCATGGGTTTTTGTTACAAGATGACGGTAAAGAGGTCGATGGGAGGGGAAAGACGACGATATATCGACAAGGCGTATTTTAATAAAAATATGCAAAAGAGTAAAATAGGTATTTGGAAAGATTTGATTACCGGTTTAACGTTTTCCGTGATGATCGTTGACGCATGGGAGGTTTTTGTATTTTACCCTAAAAAATAAGTAAAATCAACAAAAGGCCCACCCTTTCGGCACCCACCCTTTGCAGCAAGCAGATGTGAGATGTTGCCCCCTCACCAAACCAACCAAATCCAAGCCCAACCTTCCTCTCTTTCCTTTTTTTCTCTCTCTAGCTATCTCTATTCCTTATTATTCCTCCAAAACACTTCAAAGACTGCTGATGACTCTGATTGCTGAGAGGGACGTTGAACATCAGACTGTAGCCTTCTTTGTGAAAGAGAAATAGAGAGAGAGGATCGATATAAAAGAAGGGAAAGGGTGAAGGCGGATTTTTTTTGTTCAAATATTAATATTTTAATCATTGAAGGGAAAATGAAAGCTTTGCCGGGAAAAATGGGAAAGCAAAGTGTGGTGGTGCAGTTTGCGATGCTAGCCGATACCGAGAGAAAGGGAACCTTCTCCGTTCTTCTTCTTCTACTTCTTCTGTTGCTTCTCTTACTTCACGTTATTTAGCGGATACCCACCTCAGATAAGTTCTTTCTTTTTCTATGTGTTCGACTGTTTTTGATATTATAATTTTCTTGGTCTTTTTTTTTTTTTCTGAGGAATCTGAGGAGACAGGCATTTCTGACTACTGGGCTCCTGAGGTTTGATGGATTCAAGTTTGGATTTTTTTGTTGACAAACTGAAATGAAACTCTGTTGTCGTAGATTTGAGATTATTTTTGATTTAGGGATCTAGGTTTTTTTTTTTTAAGTTTTGAGAACTAGGTTCTACTCTACTAATGCTTGAGTCGTTATTCGGATGCATTCTTGACGATTCAGGGATTGGTTAATGGGTTTTGTCTAGGATTTGTGTTCGTTGCTGTTTCTGTTGTTGTTGTTGTTGTTGTCGTCGTTGTTATTGGGAGCTTGTGGTAGGGTTAATTGGGGAACTGTGTTGTTGCTGTAGGAGGTCTTGTGGCGTTTTCTACAATTTGTTGTAAATAGAAAATCAGTTTTTGTGTGTTTTACCGTTCGGTGTTGGATTTTCCTCCCTTGAGACTTTTTTGTGATTCGCTGGAGGGATTGGTCTTTGTTATTACTAGTTTTTGTGAAATACCTCTGATCGGTTTGGACTCTTTTCCGGTTAAGGAAGCGGGTTCGATCGAATGTTACTTGTTTGGATACCATACAGTCATTACACTCTTTTCAGTGTAGTCTGTCTCTGATTTCCTTAAAAATACCCACCATTTTTATTGTGGGTTCTACAGATTTTGCCCACTTTCGGATTTTCTTTCTTTTATTTTTCGAGGAAATTGCTAGATTTTCTGGAAATTGTATAATTTTATCTTTCGATTGAATTTTTTTTTTCTTTAAAAGAAAGTAACTATACATCTTGAAAGAAGAAGAAGAAGAAGAAGAAGAATCTGTAACGGGTTTTGTTTTGTGGGGAGCCTGATTGTTTTATTTGGGAGGGGATTCTCTCTATGGGAATACCTGATAGTTCACTTCTAGATCTAATAGGGAAGGTCAGATCTTGGATCCCGTGGGGAAGAAGCGATCTATCTGGTTTCTCCAGGGAATTCTGGATGACTGATAACAGTTGCAGGATGTGTTGCGGCTGTGGAACACGCTTCACACAGTTCAGTTTTCAATACCATTGCCAAAGCTGTGGCCGAGTATTGTGTAGGAAATGCATGCATGGTATGAGCATTTCTATTTCTGTATCAGATGGTTGGAGAAGTGTCACTGAGGATGGTGGGCATGTCAAATGCTGCAAGTTCTGCTTTCATGCCAATTCTGGGCATGAAGTCGGCAGAGAGTATGAAGAGAAAGATGTTTCTTCTACATTTCCTCTGCCAAGTAGCAGAAGTGCGGTTTCCTGCTTCAGCAATGGAAATTTTGATAATATTAACAGTAGTAAGCAACTACTCAATGATCACCTTACACGCTTTCTTGAAGCACAAGAACATGGTTCTTCTCCCCATACAGCAGATAGTGGTAGCTTGGCCTCAATCATGGGCCAGCCATCTCCAGTTTCTTTTTGCCGCTCTCCCAGCAGGTACTTGTTTCTTCTCTTCTGGATTAAATACACACGTTGGTTGCATGCAGAGAGAAGCAATTCTTTCTGCAAAAGCTTTTATTTTATTGCATCCTCTTAACCTTGTAAATTATAACTTGCTCCTTAATGAAAGTTTTAATTCATAATTTCATCATGGATGTAGGAGTGATGAGGAAGATGCCGAGGATTCTAGGAAGCAATTTCTGAGTCCATCAAGTGAATACTGTCAATATATTTCTGAAATAGATTCTAGTAGTGTTAGTGGTAGACATGAATTTTATGGTTTGAAGTCAGTAGGTTCTAGTCCCTTGGACAGCCCTTATAGGATTGCAAATACTCTTAATAGAGCTGGGTACTCTGTACAGCAGGAACAAGGAGGAACTCCAAGGTCTCAGAATGAGGCTGACCTCGGCCAAGAAACTAGGGCTGTTGTAAGAAGGCCTGGAACAGAGGCTGAGGATGTAGAGAACACTGATGATTGCTCAGATTTGTCAATATTCCGGGAACAATGTGAGAAAGTGCAACAGACATTGGATTTTGAAAACAATGGTCTCATATGGTTTCCTCCTCCCGCTGAAGATGGCGAGGATGAATCTGAAAGCAATTTCTTTGACTATGATGATGAGGAAGATGATGTTGGAGAGTCGGGCATTCTTTTCTCATCTAGTAACTTTAGTAGTGATACATTCCCAGTCAGGGAGAAACCAAAAGAGGAATACAAGGAACCTCTTAGAGCTGTAATACATGGACACTTTAGAGCTCTTGTGTCACAGCTTCTTCATGGTGAGGGCGTCAGTGCAGGGAATGAGAGTAGTGTGGATGACTGGTTGGATATAGTTACATCGGTTGCATGGCAAGCAGCATCCTTTGTGAAACCGGATACAAGCAGAGGAGGCAGTATGGATCCTGGTGACTATGTAAAAGTTAAGTGTATAGTCTCAGGAAGTCCAAGAGAAAGGTATTACTTGGAATATGCTAAATTTTATCTAGAATTCATCTTATTCTTATTATGGGCCCTTTTCTTATGGAAATGGTAGGATTTGATTGCTTTTCTTTTTTAATTTTTGCAGCACCCTTATTAAGGGAGTAGTTTGTACAAAAAATATAAAACACAAGCGCATGACATCACAATACAAGAATCCTAGATTACTTCTCTTGGGAGGTGCGCTTGAGTACCAAAGAGTTCCGAATCAATTGGCATCTTTTAATACTTTACTTGAACAGGTTCTTCTTTTTTCCTTTTTGACTGCTGTTATTTTTCACAAATAAAGCTTGGTTTACATGACTGAAGTGCTGATCTATTGTTTTTAATAGGAAATGGATCATCTCAAGATGATTGTTTCAAAGATAGAGGCCCACCGCCCAAATGTTTTACTGGTGGAGAAATCTGTATCTTCATATGCTCAGGAATATCTGTTGGCGAAAGAAATCTCTCTAGTGTTGAATGTAAAGGGGCCCTTATTGGAGCGCATAGCCCGGTGTACTGGTGCTTCTATTGTTCCATCAATTGATAATCTTTCTACTGCACGATTGGGACACTGTGAAATCTTTCGACTAGAGAGAGTTTCTGAAGAATGTAATATTTCTAGTCATCCCAACAAGAAATCGAGTAAAACCCTGATGTTTTTTGAGGGTTGTCCAAGGCGTTTAGGTTGCACGGTAATTTGAACTTTACTTCCAATGTATCATTTCCTGTTATGGCATTTGGAAGATATGAGGTTCATTGTGAGGTTGCATTGCATATGTCAGCTATGTATATCTATGGATCTTTCTGAATAATACCTGTTTTTATGTAAGTTGACTGGTTTGTTTGGAAAATGTTATGCTACTTCAGTTAATGACCATGAGTGCATTGTCACTGGGATCTAATAAAATTTAGCTTCATGCTGTCAATAATCTTTTTTTTTTCCTTTTTGTTTTCAAATCTTACAAAGGAAGCTTATATTTGTGATTAATCTATGTTATGATGTAGTATGGGTAGAATTTATAAATGGAAGTGCACATTTTTGCTTCTGCCAACAGTTTATGGTAATAGCTCTAGTTAGGATCTGCAAAATTATTGCAGCAGTCATTTTCTATGTTTTAAGGAATAGCAAGTATTTTCTTATTCTTATTCTTATTATTATTCTGTGAGTCCCAGTATTTTTTTACTTCTTTTGAACAGCTTTATCCCTCGCTTGAGGTTGATTGACCTTTTGAACTCAAAGTGCATTCTTGAAGATGTGGGGTTGATCTATCCCTTCCAGTCATATTTCCGCTTTTACCTTTTTTGTTTGTTAACGTTTAACACATCTGGTGCTCATACATCCTATTGAACTGAACAATTTTAAACATTTCTGCATCTATACCGAATAGAGTTTTAAATAATAACAAGATTTACCATAATCAATTTTACTTTACCTCTTAAAAAATGATATACCATAAACCTACTAACTGCAGCCCACTTTATTTTCTTCAATGAGAGATGTTGCTGATTTGTACATGAATACCAGACTTGTTCTAATACGTATTTCGCAGTGCAAAATGTCATAAACAAATGCAACCTTTTTTGCATAAGCCTGTGGTTGGTGCAAGTCATGGTAGCTTTCTGTTAGATATGGCACTCCTAATGGGAATCTAGTTACTGAGAATTATATGCGGAGGTGTATGATAGTATAAAACATGGACATGCTTTGAAGAATTTAAATAGATCTTGTGCTGTTATTGCTATTAGATACATAACATATGCACGATTGGGAAGGCATTTGATTTAATTCTCATTTCTCAGTGTAGTGATGCTTGTAGTTGATTAGTTCTCTAGGAATGTCATAATGTGGTGACCTCCTTTTAAGTGTTTGATGGAACCTCACCCTCCTTTTTAATGAAACATTTACCATTTATAAAAAGGGCACTAGTATTAACATGCTACTTATTTATGTTCACCTAGAAAGGATGTGACCTGTCACCTATTACTGAAAGCATTTGCCCTGGCCTTGACCTAAATGCTTTACAGCTTGACTATCCTTATTGTCCAATTTCTGTCCTATTTCTCTAATTATCTCTTTTTTGAGTAACAGATGATTTTCATAAAAAAGAGTTGAAGTAGAGAAGCTAGAAAAGAACATCCTGTAGACAGTTTTACATGGATATGGACATGGGAGTTGGAATCCAATGCACGTCCAAGACTGACTTGGAAATATGAGAAAGCATGGACTCACCAATATATCTATGGAAGAGTCTATACTATTAAAATAATATGTATGTATGCCAATAAGCTAAGCATGGACTCCCCAACATTCATAGTTGTCAAGGCGACGCCTAGGCGACAAGGCACCCTTTCTTGCCTTGCCTAATCGCCTAGCAGTTTTCTACTTCCTATTATAAAATACTTTTTTATTTATTCTTTTTTTGAGATTATAATTATAAAATAGACATTATTAAACTAAAATAATCATTTTATGTGTTTATATACTAATTTCTTTTTATTATTTTCTTATTTATTAGGGTTTAATCAACACAAACATTGCTAAATGCTGTATTGAACCCTCAAAAACTTAAAAACCTGAACCAATAAGTAAGGAAGAACTAAAAATTTTATCTAATCAGCACATTTTCCTCTTCCATATATTCTCCTTCTACTTCTTCTTCTTCTTCTTCTACTTCTACTACTACCAATACTATTTATTTTCTTCTTTTCCTATAACAAAAATAAGGGTTCAGCCCCTATATTTTTTGAATTTTATATTCCTTCTTCCTTTTCTTCTCATGAATATGTTGATTTTCTATACTTTAATATGAAATTTATACCTTTCTTATGAAAATCATGAATAATTATTAAAGAAATATGGTTATGGTACCTAGGATCTATGTTTTTAACATAAAAAATCCATCGCCTAGGTGACTAGGCGACAAGGTGCCCCCAGTCGCCTAGCCTCGCCTTGGCGCCTTGAAAACTATGCCAACATTATAGACCTGCAAAAATGTTGCTTCATTTGTACATTAGCTGTTTATTTATGCCAATAAGCTAAGAAATAAAAAAGGAAATGATAAATAGAAGTGTCCTCAAGAATCCATTGAGTGCTGGACTCTGATGCATGTCTGACACAGACATGTTCATTTAGGAGAGTCCATGCAACATTGGCTTTAGATCTTGACTGTCATACCTCCATTGGTAGTTAATGAGTTGGAAATTTCTTTTGCAGTTAGCACTGTATAAAAGCAAAAGCTATTCTGTTACTCTGTTACTAAGTAACATTTTACCTGAAAAATGACATTGTGTTGGACTCTGATGCATATCTGACACAGCCACATCCATTTAGGAGAGTACATGCAACACTACCTTTATATTTTGACCATCGTGCCTCTATTGCTAGTTAATGAGTTGGAAACCTCTTTTGCAGTCAGCACTTTATAAAAGCAAAAGCTACTTCTATTTGTTTTTTTTTAACTCTGATCCCATTGGAAGACCAACCTGATATCCTCAAGTGCCACATGTCTCAAATTATTTGGGGGGGGGTCTTCAACCTTAGATAAACTGGTTATCTTAATACAAGTCCAGTTAAAATTCAGTAAGAGATACAATTCTAGTTCAACAATCCCAGCCAGGTTTTTTCCACATGCATAATTGTCGTTACTTGGATTTGTTTATCAAAAGCTAAATACCATTACTTGACTTGCAGGCTATCTGTAGACTAGCATACATGTATGTTTCTATGTACCTCTGCACATGTTTTTTTTATCAGCAACAGAAAATTCCATTGATTAATTAAAATGCAAAAGAGTACAAAAGATTTAGGGAATTCTCCAGCCACCCATTTTGGTTTTACAATTTTATTCTAATTACAATTCAGCCTAGAAAAGTTGTTCCTTGTTAACTCCTTTCTTTGCCAAACAATCTGCCATTCCATTTTCTGTTCTCTTCTAACCCATCTAAAAGTATCTCTCTCTTCTTTTGCAATTGTATCAGTCTCCTTTAGTGTCTGCCTATAACTCCAATCTCCCAGAGCATCATTGCTTAGACAAGAGATAGCAAGTTTTTGAGTCTTCCTCCACTTCCAACTGCTGAAACCCCAGCTGCTTAGCTAACCTCAGCCCTTGTTGCAGCGCAATACTTTTGCATGTGTATATGAAAAATCTTTACCAAGGCCATGAGATTGCAGAAGCCAATAAATCCTATTGATGTGTTTCGCTTTCCCCTGCTTGAACTGGATAGGGGTTTGCCAATAATTTAAGTTTTATTTGTAATTTCTGTTGATGTGTTTGTGTTTTTTTCTTAGCCAATCTCACATAGTTTGGACAAAGCTTAGATGGTGATGGTGTTGTACTTGATGTCTTTGCTTGTCTACTGGCTATGAAGTATATTCTTTCTGGAATTAATGTTTTCTTTAATTAAATTGGTGTACTTTTCTATGTAGGTCCTTCTCAAGGGTACATGTCATGACGAACTAAAGAAGGTTAAACATGTTGTTCAATATGCAGTATTTGCAGCATATCATTTATCCCTAGAGACATCCTTCCTTGCTGATGAGGGTGCAAGTCTTCCTAAGATACCATTGAAATCTGCAATTTCCATACCAGAAAAGATGATTGGTGTTGATAATGCTATTTCAGTAATCTCTACTTCAGCTGTGACTCCTACAGATGAACATCAATGTGGAGCTGCAGGCAGCATGCTAGAGACATTATCCCCTCATGTAAGATCAGATGTATCAGGCCAAAATGGTCTGGTGAGCCTTTCTTTGAAACTTGCAGAACAGGAGCCATTTTGTGAGCATTTTAATCCTAGTGATATTTCTACCTCATCTCTTTGCTTCCTGGGCTCTACTGTTGGAAAGGCTCACTGTGATCTATGCGGTAATCATGTGGTTATGCAATCATGTGTTCAGTCACGACCTGAGGGGCTGGTTCACTCTTCTGTGGTTCCTTCTGATATTAAAAATCATTCCCAACATGAATTGCTGGAATCATTAGTTCAAGATGGTGAGATTACATTAAGAACTTATGGGCAACCTGAGGAAATCCATGAACTGGCAAAGAATGATGGGGCTGATCGGATTGAAGTCACAGGTGAAATTTTCTCAGCTGCTGAAAATCATCAGAGTATATTGGTTTCCTTTTCAAGCCGATGTGTTCTGAAAGGAACTGTTTGTGAACGCTCTCAACTATTGCGCATAAAATTCTATGGCAACTTTGATAAGCCACTTGGGAGGTTTCTTCGTGATGACTTGTTTGATCAGGTATATCTTTTGTTCATTTAACTTTTTAATTTTAGTTTTGATGTTCTAATTTTGAAATTGGTACATTCAAATGTGTTGCACTCAATATTGCCAGATGTCTCTCTGCCGGTCTTGTAAGGAACCTGCAGAAGCTCATGTCCTATGCTATACCCACCAGCAGGGTAGCCTTACAATAAATGTCAGACGCCTTCCCTCAATGAAGCTACCTGGAGAGTGTGATGGGAAGATCTGGATGTGGCATCGTTGCCTCAAGTGTGCATATAAAGATGGAGTTCCACCTGCAACACGGAGAGTGGTTATGTCAGATGCTGCATGGGGACTTTCTTTTGGAAAGTTTTTAGAGCTTAGCTTTTCAAATCATGCTACTGCTAATCGTGTTGCAAGCTGTGGTCATTCTTTGCAAAGGGACTGCTTGCGTTATTATGGGTATGTATTTTTGTATTTCATCATCCATTTTCTTGTTGTTGACTGAGATTATTGATTCTATTTCATTGAGCAGATTTGGGAGCATGGTCGCATTTTTCCGATATTCCCCAATTGATATTCTTTCTGTTCGTTTACCTCCTTCAGTGTTGGAATTTAATGCTCACATTCAACAAGAGTGGGTTAGACAAGAGGCTATAGAGGTGTGCTATTGACACGTCTCCTCCCATAGTTGTTTTGAATGCCTCTAAATACAGAACATCTGTTCTTTACTTTTTTTCCTTCTATCCTTTTTTTTTCTTTCCTCGTTTTCTCAATTTTTTTTTCTGAATTGGAATTCAAAATTTGATTTCATGGTCATTTCTGTAGTTTTCAGCCATTTTAGATACTTGCAGGGCCTACTGCAGATGACTATATTAATTCTTTGGAAAATTCTTGTGAAGTTCTATACTGAACCTATTTTACTTCTTTTTGCAGCTCTTGAACAAAATGGAATTTCTATATGCAGAGATATTTGATGTATTACACAGCATTGAACAGAAAGGTATATCTTTTGGATATGAACTGACAAACATGAGCGAGTTTCATAGTCATATTATAGAGCTGAAAGAGTTGCTGAAAAAGGAGAGAAATGAATATGATGTAAGTACTCTATAGGGGTTAATTCTTTTACCTCTCCTCGTATCTTGAAGATAGCCTATTGTTTTCCATGCGTCAGTTTAAACCCTTAATTGATTGTTATATGTTTATGTATTCTGCAACCAAATATTCATGTGTTCTGCAATGTTTGATCTGTTTTGTGTGCATTTTAACAGGGCTTGCTTCAACCAGATGGTCTAGACAATATGCATCCAGATCAGACAGCAGTGGACATTTTAGAACTCAATCGCTTGAGACGCTACCTCCTAATTGGTTGTTACATTTGGGACCGGCGCCTTTGTTCTTTGGACTCTCTCCTTAGAGCAAAGAGTTCTATTTCCAAAGTTGATTCTTATATGCATGATGCTACAGCTTGTGCCAAGCGGGTGGAATTGATAAGTGAATCCTTTTGCAAGGATGGAAAGCTTAACCGTGAAGACAATAGTTCAAAGCCATTGGGGGAAAGACCTGCCTTGAAATCAGAACAGACAGAAGAGCATAGTCCTCAACATTTCGAGCCTGCCCAAGATCATCTTGTTGATTCCTTCAAGGCTGTCAATTATGATGGTTTTGAAGATCTTGAGCTGGCCTTGGGCCATGGCAACAAGCATGAGATGTTTATAGATGGTGAAGTTACATCCCAGAAGACACCTGTGGAGTGTGTTCTACCATCTACATCCAATCTTTCTGATACGATTGATTTAGCATGGACTGGTACAGGTCATCAACTAATAAAAAATCAGTTTCAAGCTTCCCAACCAGATGGGCAGCAAATGGGTTCAGCTGGGTTAAATCAGATGGGCAATCCATCTTGCACAAGGCTCATGTCCCCTGTTCGAGTATATTCTTTCAATTCTGCATTACGAGTCCAAGACAAGATTCACAAAGGACTGTCCCCTACTTCATTGAGCTTGACCTCATTTAGATCATTCCATGCCTCTGGAGATTACAGGAATATGATTAGAGATCCAATTCCAAATATGTTGAGAACCTATTCTCAGGTCTCACCTAGGGAAGTGAAGAAATTGAACTCTATTTTCAGCTCCCCTCCCTCATTCATTACATCAGCATCTAACATGGCAGGTGAAGGGGTTCGATTGCTACTTCCACAAACAGGTCACAATAACATTGTTGTTGCTGTTTATGACAATGAACCCACCAGTTTAATATCCTATGTGCTTAGTTCCAAAGACCATGAAGATTGGGTTGCTGACAAATTGGATGAGCATGGAGGAGGCTGTGGTGCAAATGACTTCATCAATAAAGAGGATGAATTCAGCAATTTATCAGGATATCCTAATTTAGCAGGTTCAGCCTTTTCAGTCTGGCAATCCTTGGGTTCTCTGGACTCAGATGATCTCTACTACAGAAGTTATGGATCTGATGACTCATCATCAACAATTGGGAGCCTTTTCTCAGATTCCAAGAGATCTCCTCATTTCAAGGTTTCTTTTGAAGATGATTCATCATCTCCTGCTGGCAAAATGAAATTCTCCGTGACCTGTTATTTTGCAAAGCAGTTTGATGCTCTTAGAAAGAAATGCTGCCCTAGTGAAGTGAATTTCATACGTTCTCTTAGCCGCTGCAAGAGGTGGAGTGCACAGGGTGGGAAAAGCAATGTGTATTTTGCCAAGTCTTTAGATGAGAGATTCATTATTAAACAAGTCACAAAGACGGAGTTGGACTCTTTTGAGGAATTTTCTCCTGAATACTTCAAGTATTTGACAGATTCTCTTACTTCAGGAAGTCCAACTTGCCTTGCAAAAGTTGTTGGTATTTATCAGGTTAGGTCTTTCTTTTTTGTTCATCTTTAGTTTTTGTATATTACTAATGGTCATCTCACTCGTAGATGATGGGTTTATCAGGTTTCTATCAAGCATTTGAAAGGTGGAAGAGAAACCAAAATGGATTTAATGGTGATGGAGAATCTCTTTTTTAGGAGAAGTATTTCAAGGGTGTATGATCTTAAGGGCTCTGCACGATCTCGCTACAATCCAGATACAACAGGGAAGAACAATGTATTATTAGATTTGAATCTTTTAGAAACTCTACGTACAAAACCTATATTTCTTGGGAGCAAGGCAAAGCGAAGTCTCGAGAGAGCAGTCTGGAATGACACATCGTTTTTAGCGGTAAACTTCTTCAATTCTATTCTTCTTATGTGCATACACATATACTATGGGATATTATGTGTGTTTCCCTTCGTTCTTATTTTTGGTTTTGTTACTTTCAGTCGGTTGATGTAATGGATTATTCATTGCTGGTTGGTGTGGATGATGATCGTAAGGAGCTGGTTTTAGGTATCATTGACTTCATGAGGCAATATACCTGGGACAAGCATTTGGAGACATGGGTTAAGGCATCAGGTATCCTTGGTGGCCCAAAAAATGCATCCCCAACCGTTATTTCACCCAAGCAGTACAAGAAAAGATTCAGAAAAGCCATGTCTACCTATTTCCTTACTGTGCCTGATCAGTGGTCTTCATGAGTTGCCTCAATTCAATATTTCTTCTCAATAGCAATCCGTATCTTCATAGATAAACCGAAAAGCCAGAACAAATAAAGAGGGAGGGAGGGGTTCGTTTATCATATTCTCAGTTCCATCTTTTGTACATGGGCAAAAAGTAGCTACAACATGAGGCTTGTATAAAAGGAGGGGAAGAGACATACCTTCTTTGTCAATGTTCAATTTTTTTTGTAAGGGCAAATTAAGCCTGAGAAATAGGATTCCCAACAAATTAATGAAGCAATTCTTTCATCTGTTCATGTTGTGTAGTGGAGGAAACAGAAGGAAGCCTCTTTTAGTTGGGGGAGGAGGAACTGCGGAATTTTTGAAGGCAAACCTTTCATACAGATGGAAATTGTACACATCATCATGTTGGCAAAAATTCTATCTTGGGTAAAAGGCACACAATATCTCAACCGACGCCTTTCTCCCGGGGAAGTTTCACCCGTTCGTTGTACACCCATCCATTTTCACATCTTTCTCAGAAAAAAAAAGTCTCCAAAGCTTGCCTGCGTAAAAGCCTGTGTAAAGCCTTTAAAGCCTTTAAAGACATGTTCCCCCCATGTGATGGCCGGCTGGTAACATATTTTAGTTAGTTACGTCATTAAGTTTTTCTGCTTTGCGTTGATTAAGAAACATGTCTTCCGGGAAGGAGACGGGCTTATATAAAGCCAGTCCAAGTGAATGAATCAATATGCTTACAGAGAAAGTAGAAAAAGGAAAAAGATGGGGTTCATGGATATGGAAAAGCAGAAAGGTTTATATGTATGATGTATCCTCTTTTTTGTTGAGAGTCTGCACATGTGCCCACTGGCCCAAATGGATCAACATGTGACTTACAATTTTATATTATATTTGCATACTTTTGATTATATTTAATTAAAATATATATAATACAAAGATAGATGTTAGTAGCTATAGAAAAATGTGTAAGAAATGGATATCTTACAGATTAAGTTGAATTGATTTGTCAACTTTCAGCTTTCATTATATATTATAAGTTTGTAATTATATTTAAATATTTGTATATTAATTTACAGTAGATTTACAATTTACTTGTACAATATATTGTTTGATTTTGGATGCTGTAAACATATTAATTTGTAAAAGTGAATTCATGTATATTTAGCATGCAAAAAATACAATTTGTTCATATTGATTGCAATATATAACTTCACAGAGTTTGTTAAATGTAATATGTTTTTAAATTGCCAATTGCACTGACGAAGTGTAATTGTTGCATTTGTAAGATTCCTGTGGGTTCCCTACAATATCTCAATTATCCCACTGCACCCCTTGGTCTCCTAAACATATCCCATCCCTTAATTAATTGCCATACAGACACGAGTTAACATCTGCGCCTCATAAAGGGGCGCCCCACACATGTATTGGGAACATCTCCCGATGATATGTCAGAAATGATGATATCATCATTTGGAGATGTTTCCAATACAGGGATGAGATATGTTGTGGGACATTGTGGGATGCCCCCTTGTAGGGCGCAGATCTGAACTCTTGTTAACCCTCGCCCAGTAACCACCCCGAAAGTATCTTTCTGGACTTGGATAGATGGTAGAGGAAGGGTTTGAACCATACCATTATGTTTCAAAACCAATTGATCCTTGAAATATTCACACTATCGAACATCCCCTTGAGTCCTTCGGAGTCCGGGCCCTTATAGCTGGTTCAGGTATTCAACTACAGCACTTTGGTAAGGTAGGCACAAAGAGAAGCCTCTGTTCAAACTGTGACAGGAGCTACTTGGGCTTGAGCATCTTTGTAAGACCCTATATTTTGTTCAGGGAGATGGAAGGAGTTAAATGAAGGATCAAAACGAGAGTTCGTTCCATGCTGTCACTGTGATAGAGATGTGGGATTGGGTATGATAAAGGTTTAAATTTGAAGATGTTTTATTAAGAACCATGGAAATGGAACTAACAAAGCTGGGACTTGCAGGTCTGCGTCCAAAACCAATGGTCCCTACTCCCTACCCCCTACCCTAGAAGATCAGAATTTAAAAACATGGGGCTCTTCCTTTATCGTCAGCACTGCAGTCAGACAAGGACTGGGACCAGGTCTTTTTTTTTGGGGTAAATTACAAAGACCCCCCCTACTATGATCATGAGACAAATACCCCTTTTTCTTAATTTTCCATAAAAAAAATGCTGTTACAATATTTTTTAATTCCCATACTACCCTTGTAATAATTAGACGAGAAAAATACTGTTCATCTTCCCCGACTTTCCGATAATACTTTCTTTAGATCCTAATCTCTCTCTCCATTTTTCTGCTTCCCTAACCAGTTCAAACTTTCAACCCGTCTTCAAATGCAGCTGGATAAACAACTTCCGCCACCGTAAAATTGCAGCATGATAGGTTTTGGGCGTTTCAGGAACGCCCTACTGCTGGAGGAGGACCTCTGTGAAATTCCACCATTCGGAAGCTCTCCGCGAGACCGATAATGGAGAAGTGGTCAGGGACGATTTGGTGCAAAAGGTCTCAATCTGAAAGCCCCAATTAATGTTGACGTCCCTGCCAGACATTAACTGTACGAAAGAGAATTAGCAAACCTCATAATCATAACCATAAAGTAATGAAACTATTTCAAAGTTTCTCTCTCTATGAGGAAGTCAATTTCTAGAAATCTAAAGACAATATGAAAGCATTTCGCGAAGAGCTTCTGGGCTAAGGTAGAGGATCTTTGCCTTGCTGCTGCTGGAGAACATTCTCAAGAAGTGAAATCCATGGTGGTGGGAGAGAGAGAGAATGTGAGAGGACAGTGAAGGAGGGGAAAAGAAGAGAAGAAAGGAAAAACAATAGGTTTTAAGAGAAAATGGCAAAAAAAGAAAAAAAAAATAGAAAAAGTTTATAAAGGTATTTTTGTAATTTAACGCATTCCGTCATGTGCAGGTCAGCCAGCCAGTTGCCTTTTTCTGAATGGACAGCCATGTCCATGTGTAGCCTCTCCAGTTTCCACGTGGATTGCTGCATTCCCAAGGTCTCTCTGCTCGACCATTGATGCTATCCACTCCACGAACACGACTGATCTTCCAAGTTCCAACATTGTTTCAAAGTTCCATCATTGGAAGGATTTGGCACAAAGTCTGTTCTATATATACATATACATAATCCAATTATGAAACAAAAGATATATGACAGATTATTACCTAACTTCTCCCAATAATTTTCTTTTGCGCCCGCCCATTATATCATTTTATAAAAACCTCTAAACATATGTTCTGAATCAGAACCACAAAAATAGGTGGCAGTTGATGATCCAGAAACAAAGCGTCCCGTTCAGGCGTTCAGTAATAGACCATGACTTGCATCTAGTACTTCATATACTTGCGTTTTTTAGTCACCACAGGACTCCTCCTCTTGCGTCAATATCTGGTCCTGGTCGTATCCACATCAAACACCTACCAGCCGGTGCTTTTTCAGCAATATCAATACAGGAAAACCACGAGAAGATGAATTTATCTATTATCCATTACATATTACAGGTAGGTGATGATAGGACCTCCATTACATAATAGTTTAATTTCCACAGCTCTTAGCGAGTTTTTCATGGTTTTTAAAAACGAATCGGTGATCGAATCGATCAGGGTCCGGTTATAGGTTCGAACGTCCGATCGTTTAATCTGAATGGTCGTTCCGTTCTGATGAAAAAATTAAAAAAATTAAAAAATTGAAAAATGGTCAAAACCGTTCGAATTATTACCCAATCGGTTCAACGGTTTGTTGACCAAAATCAACAATTTTAGAGGAAAAAACGATTTTAAAGAAAAATAGAACCAATCAAATGTCCGATTCCCGATTTTTCCGATCCTGTCTGGATTTGAAAACAGTGGAATTTTCAATTCCTTCCACAGAGACGAGTAGTAGTACTCCAAATTAAGGGTTCTACATTTCTTTACCCAAATAAAAAGAGGTTCAAGATTTAGAAGTAGGCACAAAAAAAACCAGTACATGCATGCAATTTCTTGTATATATAGAGAAAATAGTACGTAGTTGAAGACTCATTACTTAGGCCAATTCAATTTCTTTTTTTTTTTTTTCTTTTATTTTCATTAGAAATCAACATGCATGATTTCCCTATGGCCAATTCAATTTCTTTAGTTGAGACAGAATTAGCAGTCAAATGCTTGTTTATCTTCAAGGGTTACACTTGGGAATAAGTGGGCCGAAACATGAAAAACGTTTTCCACTGCTATTTTGATCCAAGTTCTTCTGAACATCACCCTTGAATCCAGATATATTAGAGCTGTCGTTATGGACCGAGTCTGATTCGGGAATAATCACCCGAATTGATTATTAATCCGTTTGATAAGATAAATCCAGGACTAGAACCAATTATTAATCGGGATAAGTGAGTCTCGCCCAATTAGACCTGATTAATTATACTTTTAACATCTATAATTACCTACGCTAAAAACAACTTAAAACCTTACTTTTTGATAATATAACCTCATATAAAATAGTGAACTGTTTATATAATGAAAAAATAAATGCTTTTAAGTTTTAACCAAAACTAATTATTTTGTATACTGTTTATGAAATTTATCCCTTTAAACATAAATACAACAAAAATCACATGAAAACCAAGAGACCTTTATATATTATTAATTATATAATCGATTTGAAAACAGTAAGAACCAGTATAAAACATGTTTTATAGACATATAATATGAAATATTATATTTATATTTGACATTTTATACATAAAAGTTATAAGCCCGGAATCAGGCCCAACCTAATCCGGGGCCAGTCTGGATCATGATCACCCCTAATTATTAATTGGGACAAAATCATATAATCAGAACCGATAATCAGATACGATTCCCATGTGTACGATTCACTCATCAGAGGTTGCTCAGCTCGCTGTTTATGTTTTTTGTCTCCAGCCGGACCAGCCCATCGATCCGGCCGGTTTCATTGGGTGGATCCCTATACCCTGTGCCCTAGAACGACCCATTATTCTGATACCAGATTGCAAATTCAAAACTGGCAAAGTGACAATGTAGCGTTAACACAACTTTGACAAGGTGGTGGACAAGATTGCTGGATTTGAAACAGTTTCTACCAAGGCAAAGATCTTCCTTCCCTGAGACCAAATAGTTGAGACATCCCCACCAATGCTCCTAGGCTTTTAATGGTCTATTAGACGACATTTATTTTGTTTCTGTGCTTTTGTTTTGAGGCCACAATGGTTATTCTTGCCAATTTATCGGTAATACTCCTTTCAAGTTTCAATACTTGAGCTCCAAATGACTTAATACCTCAGTTGGTCACTCTGTTTAGGGAGGCATTAGGCAAGGTTTTTAAAATTGGACTGGAGATGGAACTATTCTAGGGATCAGTTCCCGGGTAAATGGTTCAACTGTTTGGTTTGAACAAATGTTCCATTCTGACAGTCAAAAACTGTTATAATCAACAGTTTTTGGCCAAAAAGTAATTTTAGGGTGAAACGGAACCAATTATCTGACTGGTTCCCAGGTTTTTTGGTCCAACCATCCGGTCCAGTCCAGTTAACCCTGCTAAGCCTAATGTACGCAGTACTCCACTCTTTTGGGAGCTAAAGCTGTATCAGACATACACACCCCCCCTTCAAAAAAAAAAAAAAATCATTTGTCTTATGATTTAGGGATATCTTTTTTTGTCTCTAGTACCAGCCAACCAAATCAAGAGGGTTATGGGAGCTTATGAGAAGAACACTTTGCATCTCAATGGTCCATCAACAACATCTAATCTTCCTCGTAAAAGCAAAAATGCTTACTTTTATTTATTTACAGATGGGTCATATAACCTAACACAGGTACAGCCGGAATTGTGTATGTTCTCCCGCATGCTTCAACAAATGTTTATAATGCTTCAGGAGGCTATCGAATTAAAGCAATAAACAGTTATGATGCAGAAGTTCAAGCTGTAATTTGAGGACTGCAACAAGCCAGCAATCTACAGTTTAAGCAAATATCAGTTTGTTCTAATGCCAAAGAGCTTATAAATAAGCTTAATGACTCCAGCAAGGATTACTCATAGATAGATCAAATTAACGCGAACATTTCTTTGATATTGTAAAGTTTCGATTCATAAGTAGAGGTAGTAATGCTTTAGCTCACACCTTGGCTTTTAATGCAAGGCTCACATGAAGTTAATTATACTTTTGCCTTAGAAAAAAAAAAAAAAAAAAACCTGCTATTAGTTTTAGCTTTTTCATATCATCTATTACCTTGCATACATAGTGTTTCAATTTTCAAAAGAGTGGTGTGTGTATTTACCAATTACCTCTTTATGATTCTTTTTTGGTGTCCAATTTTTTCCTGGAGGGAGGTAGTATTTTATCCATAATTTAGCAGTCAAAGAAAGCAAGAATTATGACTCATTATGTCCTCGAGGTAGTTTTAGATGTTTTTGGTTTGAAAAAATAAAATCATACAGTTTGAAACCTTAGAGATGCAAGGCTATGGAAGAACCATTTGAATCCTTGCATATGCATATGTCATATGCATGGCCAAAACAAAAGAGAATGTATGAGCCCATCTGATTGTGAGAGATGCCATACATCTACAGATTGATTCCATTTTGCTTTTTTTTTTCGTTAATTCTTTGTAGTTTGATTCTTTAATTATTAATTCACTTGAAGGCGTTTTTTGTGAAAGAACTTTGCTTTATCCAAAGAACTCAAGTTTCTTTGTATGGGCGATTGGAGGTTTCATTTTGTGGTTTTTTTGATAAAAAATTTAAGCTTCTAATTAAGCTTTAATTAATCTTGTATGATCAGTGTGGTTGAATAACTTGTGTAGAACTTTCTGCTAAGGGTAAGAGATTTATACTATTTCCATTTTAGGTGTTACCATAAATTTGCTATAAAAGCTTTTTTTATGGTCTTTTATTGTTTTTGTCATTTATATGGATTATAGAGGTGTAAATCAGGTCGTACTGTCTGCGACCTAGTACAAACTTGGACTGGCCCGGCATGACAGTCTGCGGGCCATGCCAAGCTCAGCACGATCATACAGGCTGTGCTGGGCCTGGGGTTTTAGGTCCACAAGCCAGCATTATATATTTAATATATATTTATATAACTTTATATAAATTATAATTATATAATAATATATAGCATATAATATATTAATAAAATAAATATATTTTTTAATTTTATTATACTAATTTATTTAATTATTATATATATAAGCAATTGTATACACAAAATCCATATAGAATTAAAATTTTAAGTTTTTTGTCAATTTTTTTTTAAATAAATAGCTTTGACCTGATGCACGGTCCAACCTATCCCAAGGCTCGGCCCACGGGCCAGGCCAGAATGCAGCACAACAAAACATGGCACGGGCCCATACGGGCTTAGGTCGTGGGTTGTGCCTGGCCGACTCCCAAAATTTTCAATGGAGAGGACAACACGGCCCATAACGGCCCATGAGCCAGCACGACACGACCCGTAGGCGGCCCCGTGCCATGCCAACCCAGCAAAACCCACTTTACACCTCTATGGATTTATCGTGGAATATATGCAACGCTTATGAGCTTAAATTTTCTCCACATCTTTACTTTCATGCATTCAGTGTTGACTTCTATCTATCAATAATGGATCATACTCAAAATGAGATCCAAAATGAGGAATTCATCACCTCTAGAAATGGAGAAAACTGAAAAAATATGGGCAAATTCTGTCAAGAAGAAGTCCAAAACCTTGATAGCTAATTCATATTTTTAATGGTAGTTTAGATATAGATAGGAATATATTCTCGCCAACAACTCTACAAGTCAAAAAATAATGGGCATTCATGAATGTTGACATCTTACCTCAAAATTTAGGATTATGTTGATCGGATGAGGGATGCCAATGGGTCGGGTTAAATGGTAAACCTTGCTTGACCTGACCCTATAGGGTTGGGTTAGGATTAATATATTTGGCTTTAGGGTCGGATTAGGGTTTTGATTATTCAACCTAAGTGGGGTTCGGGTTTTGGCTAACACGCCCTATTGGGTCATGATACCATGTATATATACAAAATATTCTTATAGCTTTTTGACTTCTAACCCTATAGCTTTAAAGTTTAAGATTTATTTACATGTTGATTTTGATTTTTTTTTAATAGATTTTAGATCTTTAACGTGTTAAAAAATACAATTGAAATGCTACGGGTCAGATCAGGTCGGTATCAAGTTAGACCCTATAGGGTTGGGTCAGGTTCGGGTTGAAACATTGTAGGGTCAGGTTAGGGTTGAGGCAAACTCAAACCGTTGACACCCCTAGACCTAGGGGGATTTCCTTTCTGATTCCGATTCCAATTGCGAACCAAAACAAGGATTAATTGAGGGATTGTCCCTCGGGGGTTTGCAATTAATTCTCTTCAAAAGTTTTTGTTCTATTAAATTGATCTAATTCAGTAGCCCAGGAGAATTTGAAAATTTGAAGAATTGTTGGGAAAAGAAAATAAAAATACCAAAGGAATGAGCAAAATATATGCTCTCACTTTTGCTAGACCAAGAATCATGGCTTTAGATGGATTAATGTGGTTCCACCAAGACATCATTCATCTAAGTCAAGGTGGGGCGTCCATACCATTACATCAAAGACTTTGATTTAATTGTTTTAGCATGGTATCATGACAGTGGTAGCAAAAGTGGTTTGGCCAAGAAAAATGCTTGTAAAATAGATTTTGCTTTTTACGGAGTGTGCTTTGCATCACAAAAGCGCTTTTTATAACAATGCGATTGAAAAATGGATTTGAGATCATTTTGTTGTCAATTAAAACATATCCCTCGTCCATATGTTAATTGAAAAATGGAATTGACTTCGTTTCTTGAAGCACTAAATTAACTCATTTCATTTTTCGTAAAGATTCCCCATCAGAATCGTCCATTTTATGTATTAAATAGATAATTGGACACATGGCCTCAAAGTCCAAGAAATGCTAAAATGAACTCATTCTCATTCTTTGTAGCGCTTCCAAGCAACTCGTATCATACTCACCTTTAATATATTTTTTTAGATGAACTCCAAATTACCTTGTGCATATTTTGAAATTAATAAAAACTGTACATACAAAAAAAAAAATGATGAGGATTCGTTAATAATACTTGTTTTTTAAAAATATAGTGGCAAAAAGTCGGAATTGTTTTCTTTTTAATAAAACAAAATATATTAAACTTATGCATTTGTGATTATATATGCACATATTTGATATATTAAACATAAATTGACATTAAAACATATTAAGGTAATCGTTTTTTTTTTGTAAGCCAATGAAACATGAATATATTTGTAGATGATCTTGTGCTTTGTTTTGCTTGCTTGCTTGATTTAAATTTCCAGAATGATTATTTAAATGCAAGATTTCCGGTTCATTTGTTTGATGTATGCCCAAAGAATTTGCTAACATTGTTTTTTTTTTTTTTTTTTTTTCAGACATGTTGATCTCATTAAATTATTTATTTTCCTTTCTTAAGGGAAGTTGCCTTACTATTTATTCAGTGACATTGAATTTCTGAGAATTTTGTTTATTACTCATATTTCCGTGAACTGGGGGAATTTTGACTTCGATCATGGAAAACACGAGACTTTTTTTTTTTTTTTGTGGTTTTGAACTCGAAGTCCTTGAAGCATTTCCTTTCTGTATCCATGGAAACATTTAATAAATTTCAAATATAAGATTTGAGATTCTACTCTTCAATTCTTTGAGCTTTCTTGCAAAAGAAACCAAAAGCTCTTCACGCTTTTACAGTCAACTTTACACATAAACCGCTACAGAGGCAGAGAGAGAGAGAGAAGATTGCAATTGCAGGTTCATTAGTATTGTTCTTCAAAGTTTCCAAGCTAAATATACTCTCCTTCTATAATTGGTCGGAAACCCACTCGTTTCTGCAGTTAAATCATTCCAAACAAGAGAATTAGGAGAGATATCCATAAAAAAAGTGGAAATATTACAAGAAAATTAAAAAAAAAAAACACACATTAAGAAACGCATCAAATAATTATCATACCACAAAAAGTGAGACTACAGTTTGAATATCTTTTTATGGGTTAATTATCTTATAAATGGTCGGGTCAAAAACCCAAACCCGTACTAGATATTGACCATATATAGAAGAAGCATCTATTCCATAACCCCCCAAAAGTCACAAGGTTTGGGGTCGGATCTAGAATAATTAGCGCCTTCCCTTCTCATCTTCTCCATATTTCCAGTCAGTCATGTCAAAAAGGTTGACAAAATAAGGCAAAGTAATTTGAATTCGTGATTCCACAGACATGGTCACATGCAGCAGAGGGCCCGGCCCGAGTAGATTGGAATGACAAATTGACAATTGCTAATTAAAACTTTCACATGGTTGGGGTGGAAGCCTGGAACTGAAAAGTCAAAAATAACTCAAAATCGATCGATAAATTTGAGTGCACCACGACTATGTATGTGTTGAATCATTATTCCACATGCAGTTTATACTTGTTAGAAGGCTAAGGCACATCACATCACATGCATGGTAACTTGTAAGTAATCCAAAGTCAGAAAACAAAAGTAGTAGTAGGTGCTGTGATCGAGCATTCAGGAATTTGACTTTCCAATTTAGCTTTATATGTACTATGCAGGTGATCTACCTACCTGCGTTGGATTGACGTCACTAACGACCTATTGCCATGTATGCCACATGTCATCCATCATGTATGTGGTTCGTGTAGAAATGGCCATGTCTGCCTGCTGCTGACTCAAATTCATCTCAATCTCATCCGAGTTGATGATGAACTTATTGACAGTTTAACAATAAGTTTGATTAACTGCAATTCTATTTTATATATATATATATATATATATGGATGGAGGTCACTTCAACATGAAGGGAAAAAGAAGGATGATTTCATGGCATGGCAGACACTCTCATTGATTGACCTCCTGAAAATCTATCTAGCATGATCTATCAGTTATTTTGACTTCAAAATTGAAGAAAATTGTAACCCTTAATTCCTTTTCTTCTCTCTTTCAGTTTCAGCCAATGGACAATGAATTAGGGTTTTCATCACTCTTTGGGCTAAGGATATGAGTTCAAGCTCTCTGCTCTATTGGTTATATAGCTTTATCTAGCCAGGTTGGTGGACTTTTGGGGTTCCACTCCCGGCCATCTGCGTGTTGGGTCCACATTGTGAAGCCCAACTGCCAATTAAGGACGATGACTGTCCTATGTGGTACTAGTACCCGACAACCCACAGAGACCCAGCCCAGATTTCAGATTCCTCCACCAAAAAATTAAAGACGATTAGAAATGGAAAATAATTCAACAGAACAGGTTTTTAGAAGCTAACCAACCAGGAAACCACAACCAAATAGTTGGAATATTAAGCCCACCCCTGCGTAAGCACAATGCCACTGAAAAACTTCAGAAAATTAAGAATATAGACCATGAAAACGTCAATCTGGTTCCTCTATTACTTTAGTTGGGAAAATGAGTAAACGCCATTAAAAAAAAAAAACAGACTAATCATCCACCAACTTTGTTGTTTAATACTTTAATAATTCTTATCTTTCTTTTTTGCTAGGAAAAATTCTCACTTTCCGTTCAAACGTCGCGGCAGTTCACCGTTCACACCCATTCCATCTAAATCTAATAAAAAAAAAAAAAAAGAAAGCAAACATATCAAGAAAAATTTCACCAACTGAGACCAAGTCATGGAAACTCGGTCAGTGACTCAGTGTGGTAAGATCAAGATACGTACCACACGCGGCTTGCAAGTCTCGGTGATGCTACCGAGACCAGGCTTCCAATGTGTTTCTTGGTTCAACAACGAAACCTCATTGCTGTTTGGTCCAAACCCATCGGCGTTGCCGTTGTTCTTCGATATACAGAGATCCATGATCTTTGCTGCTGCATCGCTAACATCGTTGCTGTCTTGAACCAACTTGGCCACCTGTGACTTGGGTAGCCTCAGCTTTATCCGCACGGCCCCGGCCGTCGATTCGAGCCCGGGTTCGTCGTAGACGGCGCTAGACGACTTCAGGATGGAAAGGTCCGACACAGACCTTCGAGCCAACATTAGACTCTCCAGCCTGTCCTTTGCGCTCATCTGTATGCCGGAGCGCACCCTCCTCGGCAACTTTTGGTCGGGAAGCTTTGGCAGTTCTATTAAGAAATAGAGCTTCTTGGGCTTCAGCTCCATTTGCGGTTCTAATGGCTTGGCCCTGACGCCAAAATGTTTAACTGCCTCAGACTCCATTAAAACGAAACCCGGGTAGTCCTTAACTACCTGCCCGACTCGCACCGGAGTCTTCAACTTGAATGTTTCGCCATCTACCTTCATCACCTTGGCTGTCTTTCTTCCTCCAACAAAACTGTTACCCATTTGGTTGCAGTTGTCTCAATTCAATTTCAGCTTGTTGTTTTGATTGATAAACGTACGAGCGCTAATTAATCAGCTATTTCTGGTTGATACTCTACCTTGGGTCTATCTATAGGCTCTAGCTGCTCTTCTCTTGAGACGTTGGGCTGGTGTGTATATATAGAGGATAAATACGAGAGTTGGGTTGGTTGATGTGTTGCCTTAAAAGGGTCTCGAGGAAAAATACAATAAAAAAAAAGGCAAAAATTTGAATCTCGATGAATAAATTTGACAAAAGGAAAAGCACGTGAAGCCTCCTTTCCAGCTATAACTGACCATGTTGGTCTCTTTAACCTCTTCAATCTAAGACTGGCCGGTTTAATTAAACATCTCCGTTCTAACAACCCTCTTCTCTTTCTTTGTTTCGGTCCTGCGATGTGGGCTAACTATTAAGGGGTTAGAAGTAGATGATTAGAGAATGATATACGATTTCTTCTTAATTTACGGAATTGCTCAGCCGTAATTGAAGGTGTGGAATCAAGAAATTTTTCAGAGATTCCATCTATCATGCTAGGTGCTAGTCGTGGACTGAGATGGGTATTCAAATTTTATCAAGGAGTTGTTTTTTAGAGGAAATAGGTTTTTCTTATTTGACTGGAAACAAAGCCTGACGGGGGTGGGCCTCAGCTTGTGCTTGTGTGTGAATGATTTTTGGTTTTTTAAATGAAAGACTGGGTCTACTTTGATATCCCCCACATCAAGTAGGAACTGCGCTGATTAACACATCATTTATCAATAAAACCAAGGGAGCAAGAGACCATAACCCCCTTGACTGGGAGATCGCAGAACCTCTAATATAATCCTCTGTTCAACCTCGTAATTATTGACCAGTAAAATGATGATCTATGAGGGAAGAGGTCTTAATGACTTCATCACTACCCAAATGGATACTAAATCAACTTGACTTAAAGAGTCATGATCTTGTAAATTGTAGGAGACGATTGATTTAACCTGTTAAAGCGCTTCTTTTTCAACTGGGTAGACGAAGCATGTAGGCCATTTGGATTAACTCAACCTAACTTAATTGGCGCTTGCTTTCTTTTTATTCCTGACTCAAATTTGGGTGGCGCTCACTTTGCATGTATGTAGTGGCTTGTTACCACACCAAAAACAACATCAGAGAAGAACGGGTCCAACTTGAAAAGGTAGCTTTACTTTTTTTTTTTTTTTCCTTTCGTCTCTGTCCACCCTTTTCAATCCATAATCACTTTTCGGAACCCAATTTCAAGTAAAGCTTAGGTAGTTCAAAAAAACTGAGGTTAGGCCCGATCCCAGCTTAACTATACGTACAGATATTACTAGCCGGAGCCTGGAAATGCCCGTGGTTTCTCAAATCAATGGGATTGATGTGATTCTCTCTCTCTCGAACTCTTGCATTTAAATATGTGTTCATAATTCAATCTTCTTTTATGCTTGGTAGGTAATGGGTATTCTTTAAATAGGGTTTTTATCAGATAAGTCCAATTTTTTGTCTTTAATATCAATAAAAAAATAATGTTTTCATATAATAATCAAGTCGGGATAGCTTTTTTGTAAAAAATATCAAACAAGTTTCTTCTCGGTGAAATTAACTGCAGAGTTAAGTTTTCTACCAACATCCAACAATGTCATCGTCTCGCAACATAGTATTTTTCTATCTTTAAGTCTTCAAATTTTTCAATCTATTTACCAATTTTGGCTTGAAATTACCTATTTTGAAAAATTATATATTATTTGATATTGAAATGTGTTGATTAAAGGGTAAATTTTTTAAACTACCCTTATGATTTAGCGAATTAACTAAGTATACCCTTACTATTAAGACCCCTTAATTTCCCATTAACAGAATGATAAAAGAACCATTTTACCCTTTACATCTGTTTCTCTCTCTCCTTTTCCCCACCAGCCTCTCCCTCTTTCTCTCTCCTTTTTCCCATCGTTGTTGGGTTCACGGATAGAGTAATTAATAGAATACATAGGAAACCCGCCGCTACTTTGTTGGCTGGACCAAGCAACAGAGAGTAGCTGCGGGTCGGCCGGCTTTTGGAGAGATTCAGCAAGGCGAACAGGGGAGATCCGCCGTTGCTCTCCGTCACTTGGTCCAGCGAAAACACGCAGGTAATAAAAATGAGAAGGGGAGATCCGCCACCGCTCGATTTGCCGCTTGGTCCGGCGAAAACACACAGGCAAAAAAAGAAAAGGAAAAGGGGAGATCCGCCGGTGGTTGCCGCTGTTGCCGATGTTTCTATTTAGCATGTTGCCGAAACCGCCAGTTTGGGTACATTGCCGAAACCGCAGCTGTTGGTGAACGGAGGGGAAGAACGGGGAGAAGAGAGAGCTTGCAGCGGCGGTTGAAGAAACTGCCACCTGCCTTCTCCTCCACTTTCTCATGCAAGATGGAGAGCTCGAAATTGCTTTCAGTTCCTTTCCTGATTTTGTGTCCCAACACCAAAAACCGCTCGAGCATCCACGACTGTATCTTCTTTTTTCTGTTCCAAAGGCAGGAGACTACTCAATTGGGAAATGTATCTTCTTCGGAGAGAGTTGAAGTAGAAGAGAAAGTGGTATCTCCAAAGTCTGTAGATAATAGGGCACTCAGAAGGTCGAGCAGTAGCAATAATGCTAATAGCCCAAGGTACATGTATGGTTATGTATTGAATAGGCAAAGGCAGGATGAGAGGCTAAAGCGAGGAGGAAAGCAAAAGTCTGTGGTCATATTGTCTTACTTTCCGTTCTCGAGTGTGTTCAGGCCTTTGTTACAAATATTGGGTCCTCTATTTTTTGACATTGGTAAGAGAGCTCTCGAGCAGATTGCTTCTTGCGTCTCAGCATGGCCTTCTCCTGTACCAGGTAAACTAATGGAACTTCCCTAAGGGAACGCTACACTTAAAAGTAAACCTACCGCCTGCTCCTAGCTTGCCATTGGAGTGGGGGGTCGTGTCGGATGAGTTTTTCTCCTCTATAGCTCCTCTTCCTACAAACCAGTCAGTCCCACAGGGTCTCTTCCATGATGCTGATCTTTTTGGTATATTCAGGGGGATTCTTTTGCAGCTTTGGGTGCTCTGGGACCTCTTGATTATCGGTGAGCCCATTCTTATAATAGTGCCAATGCTACCTCAGCATTGTGAAGCTATTGCCAGCCTTGTAAGTCTAGTCACCCCACTCTTGTCAATTTCAGACCTTAATTCACCATTCACGACCTGGATTTTGTTTCATTCCCCTTTAAATTTTTGGGTTTTGTATAAATCGATCATTTGGGTTTTGCAAGAGAAGAGAACGAACGGAAGGCAACTTACAGGCACAGACACACACACATACAAAGATAGAGAGAGAGAGAAATGTTCTTTCATTTCGTTCCTTCTCGTGCCAATACATTGATGTAGATGTAGGTGTCGGTGCTAGAGATAACCAACTTCGAGCCCTCTTTCTCTCCCTCTCAAGCTGATACCAGAATCGTCTCTCCCAAACCAAAAAGGGTATTAGTTAATTGTAAAAAACAGTAGGGGAGTGTTAATTAATTTTCAAATAGTAAGAGTACACTTAGTCAATTAACTAAACCATAAGGGTTGTTTAAAAAATAAACTTAGAAAGGGATTTAATCGCAATACTTAAAGAGATTTCAGCATAAACCCAGTCGAAACCACTATAACCTATAGCAAGATTCCAACAATCTTTGTAATACAAACGGCATCGAGCTGCAGAAACTAATCTTTTTTCCTGCATCGTATTTCCGACAGCTCGTTGGATTGTAGAATGACTTGCAGCTTATTGCAATACAAACTTTGCGTTAAGTGAGTAGTAAGGCAGACAAAGGGGCTCTCCTCTCATTCTTTTTAAAGTTTGATCATGAGTTCATTTGCTAAAACTCTTTGGGTTTCTGGTGAAAGTTCAGTTCGCATGAATACCGAGGAAGAGGAAGACAAGCAACAATACCCAATACCCTTAATTAATATTTTTTCAAAAAAGCCATTATTTTTATTGATATCAGGGACAAAAAATTGCCCTTAAAATACCAATGTCGATGCATGAGAGGATAAAACATAATCGGAGAGAAGCTAAAAAGGTTTCAAAAGTTGTTTAATACAATGAGAAGCCATGCAAAGAGTTGAAAACATGATCTTAAGGTTTGAAATGAATATGCTGTCTTTTTGACGACAACGTAAATTGTATCATTATTCCTATTTAATAAAATTTTACCTTACCTTTTGTCGAAGAAAAATCATTTTTCCCTGAAAAAGTGTGTACAGCCCTCCAAGCAATGTTTAGTGCGCTCTGTTTCAGTAAAAATCCAGTACTTTCCCAACAGTAGAAAGAGAAATCAAAGTGCAGAATTCCATGATGATACTAGAAAGATCAGATTCAACCAACTTTCAAATGAAACCCAAATCTAATTATAGATCTATAAATGCGCTCAGACACCTTGTAAAGTGCATCATGTCTACATCATCCATCTAAGAAGGATGGATCATTGTGCTTCATGGGTTTAGCCAACATCCAATACAAGTCATTTTCATGATCATGGTTGACCAAATTGTCTTAATAAATGTAAAGATGCTATCTATAGAAAATCAATGGATTCATATTTAAGTGAAGATATGGTAGCTCATATCGGCAAGCACTATTTGTGGAGGGAGTCAAAGGTCACGCGAGTAGGTTTTGTCAGTTGCATGGGCACTCAAGGTGATGTTTCCCAATGCATAGAAGTCTCACAGTGGACAATAGTGGACCATCTCTCTCTCTCTCCACACACAAACTGAAGTTTTGATGCCTATTGTATATATATATTCTAATAATTTCATATAGTTGGTAGGACGTGCATCTTTTGTAAGTCAACCATGGATTGGCATAATCACAATGAGTAGAGAAAAGCCACCAAGTTTTAATAACCACAGCCTTGACTATAGAGAATCGGAGTGCAATAAACTAGAAGGTACCTGGGGCTTAGGTGGTAAAGTAGGTGGACATAAGCCTACTAACCTGGGATCTCCTGTCTTCACCCTCCCCACTCCAACCTCCAAATTAGCCAAGGAAGAAAGGTTGAATCAACTTTGATCAAACCTACTATATTTTTACTCCTCTTTTGTATAGGAAGGTGCATTTTCGGAATATTAGGTTCTGGAATCTTTTTAAACACATCAGACGATCACCTTTCTGCCATCCT